CCAATTTAGCATTAAGGTTGATGATTAGTTAGATGAAATTTTAATTTGGCAAAAAGGGGAAGATGGGTGTGATGAAGCTGACCCACCTGATTTGAAAACTTCTATTTCTATTTCCCTTATTCTACCGGACGAAACATCTTCGTTATCAGTTACTCTCCTAATTTCTCTCTCAAATAATTTGTACGTCTTTGTACGTAACAGCATGATGTCGAGATCACGAGACACTAAAAAAAAGTAGTAGTCCTCGCAAATGCATCAAAGTTGTTAATGAAAAAAAATTTTCTTCACAGCAGCATTAAAGGACAGAGTGCAGTACTGGTTAGCTAGTGCAACCTAATATTTAGAAAAGGAGTGGCAGCGTCTAAACAATCTCTTTTAAATACTCTTTTATGTGATTAGATCATATAAAATATAAATTTCATATAATTAATAATTAATGCTTTATTACATTAAAGTTATAATTTTTAAAATTTATAATTATAACTAATCATATTAAATTTATCTCACATATATCCAATTAGATGTTTATTTCGAATTAAATGAAAATTACTTTATTCATTCTAATTTAGTTGTCTTAGTTTCTAAATTAATGTGTTTTAATTTAGTTATCATATTTTTTTTATTTATATGAAACATTAAATATTATTATTTTAATTTTATCTCTATTACTCTAATTTATTTATAGTTTATAAAGATGATAAAGGTTTTTATTATAGATAAATGTGTCATTTTAACACCTAATCATAAAGTTTTAAACCATCCTTAAATTATATTAAGTAAAGTCAAAAACTGACACACTAAAATGGAACAATGGAAGTAATAAGATATGGAGAAAGCCTCAAATTAAGGTCATGTTTTGTTGGATACATAGGTGACTGAAATTTTCTAGCCATAATTATAAAAATAAAGAAAAATAAAAATGAATATAATATACTTGCATTGATTTTCTTGAAACAAGTTTGAAGGAGGAACCGGGCCTTTAAGTCCAATAGTTCAACTTCAAGCCTTAAGTGCTTTGGTGCGTGATCGGAACTTCCAGCTCTACCACCGTCATGAATTCCATCAAAAAGCAGCTGATGGTCGTGCATCTCATTTGAGGGGTGAAATGTTCATTCGGTCTGGAGATCGAATCCCCAGTTGCTAACAACTAATTCATATTAATTTCTTAACCATTACTCTTGTCTCAAAAAAAAAAAAAAGTTTGAAGAAGGAATGCTAGTGAGACTTTAGGTTAATTAGTTAAGGAATTAAAGGCTAAAGTCCCACAGTTATAAATTGATTCAACTCTAATATACAAGGAGATCTTTTTTTTCCTTAATTTTTTTTAAAATTTTTATGCAAAGTGCTTAAGAGGTTGAAGTTCTTCGCAATGTACTCTCTATCATCATAGAACCAAAAAAAAGGAAAAAAGTTTGAAGAATGAATTATACAAAACTTTAGGAATAGAAAAAAAAATGTTATTAGTTATTCTCCCCTCCTTCCATCTTGAAGAAAATTTTGCAATTATGGAATAGACATTCATTTGTTATACTGTTTATCTAATTCAAATTATTTATACAATTTGATTAGAAAATGATAAGTTCTTCTAATATACCTCCATAGCCAACAAAACATTTCTCTAATTTCTGACTTACAGAGGCACCTTTACAACCTATAAAATAAAAGACGGCAACAAAAAAAAAAGAAAAAAAAAAGGCAGAATAAACCTATTCAAAAAGTCAATCATCCCCTTGCCTCATCAATATGTTCTGCTTTAAAATAAAACTTGACTCAAAAAATATATATATACTACTGATTTCTTGTACACTGCTTCCGCATAATTTTGTTTATGATTTTTGCAGACTCATGCACTTTCAATAAAAAAAATTATAATAATTGAAAATTAGTTTCACAAATACATAATACGCTTAGGCTTCAATCATTAATTTCCTAACTAATTGAATGCCACTGGATGCAAGGATCATCCACGAAAATCATTTCGGTGGTTGGTATGTCTTATTAAGAAAAAAAAATGGAACTGAGAGTTAACATTTCATCTTCAATATATTGACAAGAGAGAATTATTAAATGGGTTTGTTTAATAGCACAAGTTAAGAGTATATTAATTATATTTTTTCAATTAATTTGTATAAAAAATAAAAATTAACTTTAAATTTCTTGATTATTCAATTAAAATTATCTAAATAACATTGATAATAAAAATAATATCTATTTTTATATTTTTTAAAAAAAATAATAAAAAAAAATATAATTAATATACTCTTCAAAACATATTTTAAAAAAACACTTATTAACTTTGAAGCTGATTTGAAACCAAACAAAGGGGTTCATATAAACAATCGATGACATTTAAGAACGACGATTACATGATTACATAAATACAACGCGTAAGCGTCTCAATCATGAAGAGATGGGCTGACAGAGAGTGGTCGAGAGAGTGCTTGTGCATTTAAGGAAATGAAATGGTTTTCAAGGTAGTGCAAAGGATTGAGTGTGGGTTTCCATTGACAACCTAAAACACATGATTCATAGGTCGAATTGAATTTTTAATATATAGTCTATTATGAAAAACATGATTCTAATATGTTTTACTTTTATGGTGAAGAAAAAAAAAAAGAAAATGTCGCCTTAGTTACAATGTTTGGAGACCAAGCTTCATAATAATGCAGAAAAAATCTGAGGGACTAGGTCGATGCACTGTAACACTGTTACATCCATCACCGATTCTTAACTTATAAGTTTTAACAATCTCCTCCACCCACTAATGAGTTCGAAGAAAACAATCAAGACTTAAACGTGTATCATTACCAGAACATTGATTTAATTGGCGGCATAGAATCATTTAGGGGATAAAGCATAAAAAAGCCAACAATCCGTAAGCATTATTTTAATAAAGGTTTGTCTAACCTACGTTTTTAGGAGTAATAAATATATATTTTTTATAATTAATTTACATAAAAAATAATAAAAATTAACTTTTATTTTAATGTTATTGTTACGTAAATAGTTTTAATTAATTAATTAATTAAATTCAAATTAACTTTTATCAATTTTTATATAAACTAATTATAAAAGAATACATTCATTATACCTTTAACCTATACCTTAAAGCATAAGTTAAAAAAAATTCTTTTAGTAATTGATTTTTAATTTGTTTTAAATTACATCATCAAAATTTTAAACCAATACATTTCCATTCATAAAAAAAAGTATAGAAAAAAAATATCTATCAAAATTTGATAAGGAGAAAGGTTATTAGCCATATAAAATCAGTGGCACTATAGTCATTCACTTTTGAGTCTGAAAACTTCATGCTTCTCCAATATTTAATTTTACTTTGTGAATCCTTTTTCTTTTGATTTCTTTTCGGGTCAGTGTTGCAAACCAGTGCCAACGTCGCGTACATTTTATACTCATCATAATGCCGTTAACAGAAATAAAATCAGTGCCTACATAGATAAATGATTAGTGTATTTACAAACTAGCCTAACTAGCAAAAAGCGTGAACCAAAAACAAATACATATATGCAAGGCAGATCGACTAGCATAATAGAAATTTGTTCAAGAATAATTTCTCACAAACATAATGGAATTCACTAGCATTTCCTTAAGGCTGACCTGCTAAGGGAAGATGAATTCTTTGGTTGTAGTTTACGAACATAGATTTTGTTAAGAAACTAAATATAAGGAAGAAAAAAAAAAAAAAAGAGAGAAAAAAAAAAAGAAAGACAAAAGTGTTCTACAATACAACTTTGCCTTTAAGGAAGCAGGACTTAATAAATTGAATGAAAATTGCATTTACTAGTAATAGATAATA